AAGTCAAAGTTGACTAGTTTGCTTGGTAGCATCCCTCTCGTAGCGCAGTCAGCCGGGTTCAGTTCTGATTTGACGTAACGCCATTGATTTGTAGGTATAATGTGTTTGATTTTTGACACTCTGTTAGCTACATATGTCTCGCGCTTCGTCGTGTCGCTTTGGAGCCAAGCTAACACGACTTGTGAGTCACACCAGGCTCGTGTTATTAGTTGGTATCCAGGTAAAGCTTGTTGAGTTTTTTCCATCAGTTTAGCCAATAGTAAGGCACCACAAAGTTCAAGCCTAGGCAGTGTAGTTTTTTGTTTTGTTGGGGCAACCCTCGTTCGAGATGCAAGTAATGTAATTATCGGAACTCCGGATTTATTTGTCACGCGACTGTAGATAACACAAGCATAAGCTTTCTCGCTTGCGTCACAGAAGCCAAGTAATTCAATACATTGGTTTGTTTCGCTGATCCATCTCTTCAGAGTTATGTTTTTAATAAGTGGCAGTTCTTGTTTTAGCCTTATCCACTCCGACTCAATATCTTGCGGAACTTTATCATCCCAGTCGATGTTGCTCATCCAGAGTTTTTGAAATAATATTTTTGCGGTGATCGTCACGGGAGAGAGCCAGCCCAGCGGGTCGTAGAATTTTGAAATTTCCGAAAGTAATAGTCTTTTTGTGAGTCGAGTTATATTTTCATTTACAGACCAGTTAAGATGAAATGTGTCGGTGTCAGTGTTCCAGCGTAGTCCCAGAGTTTTTGAAGGTTCTTCGGTTTTGAAATCATAGCTGTTTGTAGTTGAAATCTGCTCTTTAGGTAAGTTTTCAAGTAAAGTTGGGTAGTTACTGGACCATTTGCGTAAATTCATGCCCCCACCCTTCAATAAAGCGATTAGGGACTGCTGTAGCTCCTTAGCTCCCAAAAATGAGTGGTCCCCGCTGACAAGGTCATCAACAAAGAAATCGTTTTCCAGCACCTTTGCAGCAGCAGGATACATGTGGCCATCGTCGATAGCGAGTTGCTTGAGGGTTCGGAGCGCCAACCACGGAGCGGGTTTTGTACCGTACGTAACAGTGCAGAGTTTGAACTCCTGTATATCATCAGTAGATGAATCACGCCAGATAATTTTCTGTAGATGTTGTTGGTCTTTGTTAATCCATATGCAGCGATACATTTTTTCAATGTCGGCGGTGAATGCATATTTGTAAGTTCTCCATTTTAAAATAAGTGCCTGGATATCTTTTTGTAGGTTAGGTCCTTTTTCAAGGAGGCTGTTCAAACTGTAACCGCTCGAGGTTTTTTGAGATGCATTAAATACAACTCTCAGTTTTGTTGTTGTTGAGCTTTCTTTCAAAACACCGTGGTGTGGTAAGTAGCAGCTGGTAGATGTAATTTGAGACGCCGGTTCCATATGACCCAGGTTCGCGTATTCTTCCATAAACTTCTTGTACATGGTTGATAGTTTCTTGTTTCTTGAAAGTCGTTTTTCTAGTTGTATAAATTGAGAAATAGCGATTGATTTCGATGATCCCAGTTTTTCTTCATAGTTGGGGATGAGAGGCATCTTCACTATATATTTCCCTTCAGGATCTCGTTGTACTGTTTGCGAATAAAATTGTTCACACTGGTCGTCTTTGGAGATATCTTCAGTATTCTGGATTTCTTCTGTTTCCCAATATTTTGTCAGTTCTTCCAAGTTGATTAACGTGACATGGCAGTTGAATGTTTTCATTTTTCCACATAGGATCCAGCCTAAAAGTGTTTGTTGAGCTACTGGGGCTTGATGGCTTCCCTTCAAGACTCCGTCGAGGATAATTTCCGAGTAAACATCAGCTCCCAGCAGTAAGTCGATAGGGCGGGATATGTTGAAGTCTGGGTCGGCTAGTTTTAAGTTTTCTAGGTGCGGCCAGTTGGATTTTTCAAAAGTTGTATTTGGTAAGTTGTTAGTCAATTTCTTCATGATCAGTGCTTGTATTTCAAAATTGTATTCAGAGTTTATTGATTTACAGGTCAAGTTTAGTTGTCCCCTGCAATCACCGGAAACAGAACCAACTCCAGAGATAGTTGCAGCCAGTTTCCTCCGAGGGAGCCTCAAAATTTGTGCGGCATTTTCAGTTATTAAATTCACTTGCGAGCCTTGGTCGAGGAGAGCCCGAAGGGTTACATAAGTTCCATCCATAGTTTTTATTTTCAGCTGGGTTGTGGTTAGTAAAATCTCCGTGTTATCTGAAGATAAGTGATTTGAGGCTTGTCGCTGCGAAGATGTTGACGGTTGCTGTCCAATGTTATTTTTATCATTCAATAATTTACGATTAGAGTTGTGCAATAGCGTATGGTGTTTCAAATTACATTCCTTGCAAGTTTTCGCCGATTTACATTCTTCGTTGTTATGTCTGAAAAGGCAGTTTTTGCAGACTTTCAATTTCGCAACTGTGTAGTTTCGTTGCGCCGTGTCCATGTCGATGAACTTTGCGCATTGCATTAAAACGTGATTTCCGTCGCAATTGGGACATTTTCCATAGGCAGTATGATAATTATAAGTTTTCTTGAAATCACCGTATGATTTTTTCACAGGTTGTTTGCTGACTGGTTTCCAAAAAGTAGTTTTTTCCGTAGTTGAATTCCCTCTTGCAGTTTTTGTAGATCTTGCAGTTTCATACGCCATAAACTTGCATTCCAGAAAATATAGAAAATCTTGTAAATTTTGTATTTCCCTATGATCTTTTATTTCATTCATGTAGTCATTAAGTGTAGTTGAGTCCAGTTTGGGTAACATTAAATGGACTATCATTGGATCCCAGGTTGAAGTTTCCAACCCAATGTTAGCTATGCCATTCATGCATTCTCTGATCACATCATGCATTTTCTTGAGATTATTAGCGTCTGGCTGTTGTATGGTGGGAAGATGAATCATTGCGTTGAAAAATGATGAAAACTGTAAACGTCGGTTATCGTAACGTTGCACTAAAATATCCCAACAGGAGTGATAGTTTTCGGCACATACGGAGAGATGCTGCACCAGACTTTCAGCTTCACCTTTCAATTTAGTTTTCAGATGTTTCATTTTTTGAGCTTTGTTTATAGCTGGGTTGTTATGGATAATTTCAAGAAATAGATCCTTAAAAGAAATCCACTTGCTGTAATTTCCGGAAAATTCGGGAATTTCCACCTTTGGTACAGATTGTTGGTAGTGAGCACTCGACCAAATTTTGGAATGAAGCTGTTTTCGTAGTTCATCATATTTATCTTCAATATCCGAGAACATGCTATAATAGTGGTCATTAGATCCCTTCAAATGAAAATCGATTTCCCAGTGCAGTTTGTCGATGGGCTCCCATTTCGACTTCAAAATATTTAGGTTGTCTTCTAGCTCCCATTTTTCAGAGATGCTGGTAATGTCAATCTTAGACATAGTACGGTAGATTGCATTAAAGTTGCATTCCTGTTTGTTTAATAGTTGTTGTAATGTTTTGTCACCTTCCCGTACTTGAGTGTCTTCCCCCGAGGTTCCCGCCAAGTCAAACTTCACACTTCGTTTTTGTTGTTCCAATAGTTTCAGTCTGCTGTTAATATCCGTTTTAGTTGCTAAGTACATCTCCTTAAGTTTTCCATACACGTCGTCGGCTAAATAGTTGATAGTTTTGTCTTCAAGTTCGAGTACCAATTGAGCATGTCTTGCCTCGAAGTCGCTCCATTGCTCTTCCAGGGATGACAAACGTATGTTAAGATACTCTTCGTTTTTTCGAGATGAAGAATCCTTGCGATAGTTGACACACAAGGTCTTGATATTCGCGTAGCAAGTTGATTGAATCTCCAATTTGTCCATGTTGCTGGCACGTAGTTGACAGTGACAGAGGTAGAGTTTTGCGTTGATTCACGACACGAAGACCACTTGATGATTCGCAATCTTCACAATTTCAAGCTTGAAAATTGGTCGTATCCAGATTCCGGTGTTTATGCACTCTCAAACAGTGTGTGCGCCTTCTCAATACAACTGGGGATTCTCGCTTGTGAGAGGCCAGCTGGACCGATTCGCCACTGAGTTAGAGACACAAAAAACTCCCGAATCCTTATTGTCGAAGGACCAAAAAATGTACAGTTTGTACACCCTTTAATGTAGTTGTTGTTGAGATTTAGTTAATTGGAGTGCAGGAGAAAAAGATCAGAGAGAGATAAATACCGAGATATATTGTAAACAAAGTTACAGTTAAGGTGTAGGCTATTCTTGTCTCTAATGTGTGTTAATTAGTTCGCGTTTCTAATTGCACTGTCTTTAAATAAAGAAATAATAATTTATAATTACGATAATATGACACTCTAGGTAAACGCGGGTCATTGACGCGGCCTGAGTGACGTTCGCGGTGTTAGCAAATTTTTATGTACAAGTAAACTGTACATAGGTAGTACAGAAGTTGATCTCATGTATCAACTTAACTTTTCATACCTGGCTTGTGCATAGAATAAACCGTGGTAGCGTCACACGAACGTACCTTGATGTTTGAATAATTATTATTGTTGAGAATGAAACAGAAAGAATGGAAATATAAACCTATGATAACTAAAGAATTTTGATTTTAATGTTATTGTTATATTAGATTAAAATAAAAAAAAAACCGACACTTCACAGTTTAATGTGATATCCCAAAAACCGACCATTAAATAGTTATAATGTTTAAAGAAAATTTTACTAGAGAAAATTTCACGCGGACCAAGCAGCAGACGGGAGTCGAACCCGCACCCTTCGCTATCCGAGCGAATGTATTGACCATTATGCTACCGCGGTGGGCAAAATTCACAGACGCGTGTCTCAAAGATTCAAAGATTTTGCAAAGATTTCAAGCGGATGGTACTCGCGCTAGCACTGATCCCAAGCGGTCAGAGATATCGTCTATGTGTGCGGTGCTCAAGCGCTCTTTGTATATACGAGTAGATAACCTTCTATACTATCTATTTTGTGCTTGCTATCTTACCGAATAGTTAATTACCTAATAGCATTGTTTTCTTTTGTCTGCAGGTACAGTCTTCTGCATATCTGTCCTTAGCAAAAAATTCCAAGTGCAGGACAGTGCTATTGGAGGTCTGGCAGGAGTGAGCAGGATAGCTGCCTGTTTTGTTTTCGCGTTCGCATCATCCAGATCATGGTACTACTCAGCTCCAGTGTTCAACATTTTCAGTCACACCGGCCTAACTGCTGTTAGATCAATAGCTACTAAAAGTGTACCCACAGAGGAAGTCGGTGAGAATTCTTCTACTTTGTTATTTTTAGGCTTCCAGTGACTTACAGTCGAATGGGACGTTTTAAATGTCTTAATTGATTACCAATTCTGGTCAATCATCATAATTTGGTTACCCACTTATTTGGAAATTAATGCCCAAAAAATCTTAAGCACATTTGAACATGGAAACATAGAAAAGCTCCATACTCTTCTTTGTTATGGTGGGGCCACTCTAATGGAGAATGCCATTAATCAGTGCGGTGATGGATATTTAAGCTACAGCACGTGTGCGATCTGAGTATAGCTCTAAGGATTGTGCTAGTGCTCGAGAACACAGCAGTTAATACACGACAAGGGTGCAAAGCGTGGAGCGTGGTCACCAACCCCGACACTCAGATCGCGCACGTACTGTACGTTAAATGGCTATCATCGCTATAATCAACGTCATTTCCCGTTGTGGTCTTAGTATAAAGGTGGCTCGCATTCCAAAATAGTTTTCTTAAATTTAAGCATATTATTTCTAGCTAAGCTAAGTGCATTGCTGGGTGTGACAGAGGCGTTAGCTCCTTCGATCTACATGCCCGCATCGAGTTACATCTACGTGTCTACGATAGACATATTGCCAGGAGCGTTTTACTTATTCGACGCTTCACTCACTGTGTTGGCGCTGGGATTCTTCGCGTGAGTTTCATTTGCAGTTTTACGTCTTTGTAGTAGGGTCAAGTGGTGACAGTGTACCTATCTCTGTTTTATACCTGGCCATTTGACGTCTGATGACGGCTCCAAATTCATTTACTTGCAGATATTTGATTTGTCAAATTATTTGTTTTGACTGTGTACGTGTCGCCTTAGTATTGAAGTTTAGTTTGGAACCATGTTTTAGCTGCTTAAGATGGCGGCATATAATACTTATAAAATACGTCAAGACAGATCACAGACAAATAAGAAAAGGGCAGAGATATTCTTTATGTTACACTGTACCCTTTGTTACCTGTTCCCTACTTCACAAAACTAGCTGCTTAAGATGGCAGCAGATGAAACTAATAAAAGTCGGCGGGACAGATCATTCTTTTAAATTCGCAACAGATTTTAATGCAATTTTCTGCAACAGATACAGAGAGAGTGATTAAAGAGCAAGGTTTATAAGAGTAAGTTTGTATGCCCAGGTTAAAGCCTACAGTCTTCATCGATACGAAGCTAGGGCCCACTAGTAACATTACATAAATAAATTAACTTTAGGCAAAATCTTAGTACTTAGGTTGCCTTATACACAAGTCATATAAAAATTTAAGCCATTAAATATATAACAGCACTGTTTGTGGAAATTAGAAACAACGAAGGTATCGAAACATTAAGATAAGATAAGAAAAAATATCGAGAAGTTGTACATTAATTGACTGGGCTAGTCCCAGTAGTATACATAGGTGGAATGAATATCAAATTAAACTCTCTTATAAAATTTTGTCCTTTTGGTGAACTTCTATTCTATTCTATAAATATTTCACTATAATATCATAATACCTAAAACTAAAAAGTATGTTTTTAACACAATCACGAAATCACGGCTGAACAGATTAAGATTATTTTGCCATATTTAAAGTTAATTGCCTGGATTGAGCCAGAAGCCAGAAGATACTTTTATCCAGAAAAATGTTAGATTCTGTATGTATTCTCAAAAAAAAATAGTTTACGCGGACGAAGTCGCGGGCGGCTGCTAGTAAGTATAAAGGTTTGTACTTATGTAGAGAAAAGAATATCATTCCCTGTCAGAATACCAGCGCTGTTATGGTGGGAATATTTCCTTTTCATTATAACAACATTAAGCTGAGGCAGGATCTAGATTGGCTTTTCTTCTCTCTCCATATTGTTGTTCTCTGTTTATTTTAAACCATTATATAATTTCTTTTTGTTACCTACTTGTGTTTTCAGGCCAATAAATGCTCATTATTATTTCATTAAAAGATATTGTGTCTTATGTATACCTCCACAATTATTGTGGTAAAGATAACATTTATCTTAAACAATAAAATTCGCCATAAAGAAATGTTTATACCCGTTGGTGTTCATTGTTAGAGAAAATTCTTTTTAAAAAGTTAATAAGGCCCAAGTAGAAATAATAATAGTTAATCAGATAAGCGATACCAATGGGGAAAGCTATTAATATTTCAAAGACTAACATTGGCTTCGAATCTGCAGAAATCTCTTCGGAAAAATTATTTCCTCTTATATTCGAGACACTTCTAATTATTTTAGATAGGAGAACGTTGCCATCTTAAACTAATTTTCTTGGTAAGGAGAACAAATTGATTCGGGTCCAAGTTTACGTAATCTTTTGTTTTACTCAATGCAAGCGTCCCGAGTATCTGTATTCGTTTACTTCTATTTCAATTGTGTCTCAATTTTGCGAAAACATTCCATAAAGTCAGTAAAACAAGATTAATAAGCCACTAATCGTGGAACACTGGAATGGCTCTTAATTTAATTGACTAAGGTCATTTTGATTTTTATATCTGGTTCGTTTATTAGTATTTAATATGAATTAGTATTTTTAAGAATTAGTGAAATAAACAACATCCTACGATATCTTTCACGCTTAAGTGGAGCATCTGTTAGAAAGATCGCGGCGGCTATAATATAAAATAAAAACCGGCAAAGTGAGAATTGGACTCGCGTACGAGAGGTTCCGTATCAACAACAAACTAGGAAAGGAAAAATCATTTCTTTGTTTTCGTCACAACTTATAAAGTAATTATAAATCGGCGTTTTCATAATTTGTTGTTGAAATACAATATACAGAGTAGGTCCAATTAGTGACGTCAACAATTTTTTTAGCTTCCTCGCACTTGGGGGTATCCGAAAATACCCGATGTGCATACCGTGATTTTTCTTAGTTTTCGAGTCATATTTTTTTGTGTATCTTAAATGATTTCTGCCAGCGAGGTTTCAAAAATTCATATCTTTTTTCTTAGCAGGTATTTTGCAGCCTTTTTGTGACATAATTATCATGAATGTTGGTTTACACAGTAACAAATATGGTCTGAAAATTAAAACTTTGACCCCCCCCCCCCATTTCGTTATTGAAAATAAAAATTCTATTTATATCCTACTCAACTACTTCAAGACAACGATGTGTCACATGCTGGCGGAAAAAGAAAATGAAAATGTTCGTCTCCTTTTCATATATAGGACTTCCCATTAGAAATATTCGGCTTTGGCAAGCTTTCTATATAAAATAACAAAATTTCAGTCTTGTAACTCATTCCGTTTACGAGTTAGAGATCCGTGTTGTCTGTCTGTATGGACAGTCATACAGACAGACGACATAGTGATAGCAACGGGGATCCGTTTTTGCAAAAATCACTTATATTATTCATAGGAAATATTGGTGACATCGATATCAAGAATGTTTTGAGCTCATAAAAATCCGCCAAATCATTACAAACAGACTTGATAAGCATTGATTCCAATGTTGGTAGGTTGGATGTTCAATGTTTGTACGGAGCACTAAGATCGTGTGGTTAATCCTTTGACTAACAAAGCAATTTTTCCACGCAGCCGAAGTTACGGACATTCGAGTTCGAAATAAGTTTAAATATACCTAAATAAAACAAGTTTCAACAATGTAGACTGCACTGATTTATTTGTTTATTGACGTTTCGCATCCTTTTCAGGCTGCATCGTCATAATTATGATCATAATTCTGACGACGCAGCCTGAAGGAATTATGATCATAATTCGTCATCGTAATAATTTATGGTCGATCGTATGATCATAATTATCATCAGCGAGGTTAGTCCTTTCTCTAAAAAATCATTTTTTCCACGCAGCCGAAGTCGCGGGAATTCCAGTTCAAAATAAGTTAAAATATACCTAAATAGAAAGAGGTTTCAACGGTAAAGATGCACTGATTTATTTGTTTATTGACGTTTCACATCCCTTTCAGGCTGCATCGTCAGAATTATGATCATAATAATTTTCATCTCATCGCACTGCGTCGTCAGAATGCGATGTTAAGGATGCGAAACGTCAATAAACAAATAAATCAGTGCATTTTTACCGTTGAAACCTGTTATATTTAATGAGTAGTGTGCATGAAAAGCTAAGAAACAAATATTTATATATACCTTTTTTTGCAGATTTATTTACATCCTGGTGAGGAAAAGGCAAAGATCAGTTGTCTCAGTACCAGAGAAAAAAGAAGAATTTGCGAGAACAAACGAAGTATCGAAATTTTAATACTTAATGAACTTGAATTATGTACCTGCCTCTTTGGTATTTAAAGACAGTTCTGATGATTTTTGTGAGATACTTATAGATAAGTTTTGGTAAAATTTTCATTAAAAATCAAATTTACTTTGATTCAATTATCATAATTTGCGAATGATAAAACATCTTAGATTACGGAGTTGTTACAACTATTGTACCGCCTAATTGCTTTTGTAATTACGGACCATGGTGTTATTAAACAAAAGATGAACGTAGTCAGTCACTCATTATGTAGGCTGGACTATTGACACAGCAACATATTGTTGCGCGTCCATTGTTGCCAAGTGAATACGAGACTTAATCAACTGTAGCTTGAAAATAAGCGATGGTTTGATTTACTATAACAAAAGTATGATAACTTTTGACTTTTGTTAAGGAAATAAGAAGGAAGAAAGGAAGTCTTTACTATACTACTGTTTGTCTGATAGTGCAAAATTGTGCATTATTTTGATAGCTAACAAAATGTTTTGCGCCAGTAATATTTTGACTAACTATTAAAGCAAAGTTATTTACGAAAGACAGAGAAGGAACATATTCATTACTAGCTATCAAAATAATTACTTGATAAAAATCCCTAGTTAAGTTATTTTAACGATTATTAACAAATAGTTGGCAAAAAATATTTTTTTATTAAATCATTTTATTTGAGGCATGAATCTGCCTCAACTATTTGACAGAAGTAAATAAATACCACCTACAAATTGGTCAGTTCTTGATTTTGCGTTATTCGCATTTCGTAATGTTTAACGAACTTATTTCACATTCTTATTTGATTTATTATTGTAGATTTATTTATTTTGATAAAGTAGGTTTTGTATTCATTAATAGGATAAGATACATTTTATCTTAGACTTGTGTTACTTAGTAAATGTTAACTTGAATTGAGACTGATGTGCAAACGACGAATGTTATGATTAATGTAAGTTACCGTTTAGTTTAATTAAATTACTATTGTCATCTGTAAAAAAGTATGTAATAATGTGTCCTTGTTAAAATATGTGCAATAAGACGTGTTTTAATTTCAATGGGTTTTTAATTTCCATCATTTTGTTAAAGAGTCAATGCAAATTTAAATTAAGCCGATTTTCTTACAACCAAGCGTAAAAATATAAAATTGTGGAATATTTTAAAAAATAAAGTTTTAAAGCGACAAAATAACACACAAACAAAAGTGAAATAAACCTTTCTATTTACGATCAAGGTAATGACCGTTTATCTCTGTACAAATAATGTACAATGAAGACAATCACAATTAAGAGTGTTTACACTTAACATAGTGTTGGCAAAATGATAACGAATCAAGATCGTTATTTTAGAGGATTATTATCGATAAGTTGTATTTGGACAGTTAAAAAGTACAAGTCACGTTTTGTGGACACTTCTAAATAGTTCTGACAAATCTTGCAGCTCACTTGATTACATAGTTCTAATGCCAAGAACTTAGAAATGTATCTACTTATTGTGTATTAATGTATATGTATTAATCTGTTTTGATTTAAGTCATCCGAGAATACCTACGAAGGATGAGCAGTTTGAATTTAATCGTGGCCTGGACATCACATTTTCCATGAAAATTTAGGGATATGGAAAACTAATTAAAAAAAAATGTGTCCGGATTGTCCTCTATATTGAGGCTATCAAAAGCCTATAGGCAAAACAAATATTGTAGATTTATTCAAATATTTTGGGAATAAAACACAAAACTTATCTTTATTGATAGACATAAACTTAATTAATTTATACCACAATGGAGACGTTGTCACAAAAAGAAGTTTCACGAAAGCCTTATACTAATACTTCTTAAATTGTTATTCTGTAGATATGGTATTTCTACAGTCATGTGCTTGTACTATGTGATTAAGAATTATAAATAGGAATATTATTTTGGTGGAATGTTCATTACTTTTATGATACATCCAAAGTTCTTCATTCAAGTTAAGGCATAATCTTTTAACATATCATTCCACCTTTGTCTATTGTTTATACTAAACATAGATAAAATGAGGTTTCAACATGATTAGCTTTTTAATTTGAATGAAATACTCTGGTGGAAGTGAGTCTTAAAAAGTTTGGATGGGAAAACGAGTTTGGATAGCTTACCAGCTTTGAAACTTTGCTTAGATAAATTAAACTGAAACTTAAATAAACGTGTTAAATATTTTTTTAAATTTCGATTTCTAAGACGAGAAATAAGGATAGCAAGTTATCTATAAAATATATGCAGCAAAGGAGATTGCTCAAATTGGCCCAAATGCACAAAAAATATTGACATACACGGTAATTCTTGGCGTAATTTATAATTTAATTTACAGTCATTAGATTTCAACGGACACCTTTGTATAATAAATTTACTTTAAAAAGGACTTTTATTTTACCGGTTTGGAAAACATACGAATCATTTTTAATAGCCGGGTGTAGTTACATTCAAAAAGACTGATCGAAGTTCTAAAAGTAAGTAAAACAAATCTATTTTGTGAAGATCGATAAAATAAATCATTTTTTAATGACACGGTGGTATTAATATCCACAACTATATTATCATTTTCACTAGATGCAAATGTGCTCAGACAATTATTATAGATGGTAGGCGACATCATAAAGTCTATTGCCATACATTTTTCGCCAAACACCTCCATAAACACATTATAATCTGTATATATGTTAGACTTTAAGGTATCTATCTGTGGGCCTACGTTCCCTGACTATAAATGAATAAATAAATAAAATTATAAGGTGTTATACACTAAAAATCTAAAATATGGTTATCTTAAAAACATAACAAAAATAATGAAGCTACTGAATATATGGCTATAGAACCTAAATCTCTTAGCTTTCTTTGGTTAACGAGTGTTTAAAAAATCTCTCTTATCTGTGGCTCATTCACAATCATCACACAATTTCTGTCACATTTTTATAACCGGAAATGACACGATTTTAGAAGTTACTCTTATGCATTAACTTTAAAAACAGGCAACGGTACTTAATTCCATTATATGTAATTGAATTTCGGGGTAATTAGTAGGGGGGCCCCCCGCCATAAAAGATTTTTGGCGGAAATGCAGTTTTTTTTACCTAACCTAAAAATTCATTAAATCTGTTAAGTGTAGTGGAATTTCAGGGAGATAGGTATTAGGGAAGACCCCTCAGAGGGAAGGGTACCCCCCCCTCCCGGCGATTTTTTTACAGAAATGATAATTATAAAAAATTAGAGGGGTTTTAAAGGTAAAACTGTACTTCCAGGGCCTAGAGGTGATATTTGATTTTTTTGTAGAAAAAGTCTCTATTAACGAATTTTTCTTTCTGGCGCTTCGCCGGCCGATGCCGCGGCACGCTAGCTTCGCTCGCTCGGCTCGCGCGTTAAGGTCACAACACTAACCTAACCTAGTGTGAAGTATCACCACACAAGCGGCTCATTAGAGTCCAAAACTCGCACTACACTCGACTCTTCAGGCGAAGGGACAGCAGAACTCGAGGCCGAAGGCTTTGAGGATGCCATGGTAGTCAGACGATGTTAATATCAACAGGAGTACGAAAAAGCTCTCAACTGCGACGAACACAAACACTGACTGACAGATCTCATTAATGGCGGTAAATTTGTCACATTTTGACAATAGTACCAACATAATAAACTTATATTTACCATAGACAACGAGAAACATGTTATTTTTGCATAAAAAATGGCAGCACTGATCAAAATTGCTGTCAAAATTGACTCATAACCTACAAAAATATTAATTTTCAATATTTTTTTTCTCGAGTTCTATACGTTTCCGCCTAAATAGATTTCGTGTACGTGTTTCTAATAGTTAATACTTTGCGTGACCAAAATTTCAGCTTGCAACTCAATTACATATAATGGAAAGCTGAGCCCAGGCAACTATCTGTTAATCTACATGCTCTATATACCTTAATCTAATCCATAATTTCGGTACTTGGCTTGATTTCCCTGGTTTACTATATAACTTATTTGTTTTTTATTATTTTAATATGTTCAGTATATATGGTTTATAGAAGTTCTCAGGGGTGTCCGTCAATAATATTCGTTTCTTTGTAATTTATATATAATTTCCAATCTAGGAAACAATTTTTCATGATTATTGGTCTTTAGGCCAAACATGTATGGAAGCTGAGCTCTAATCTGTTATTACTAGCTGCGCTCCGCGGTTTTACCCAGTTACATGCTACTTTCAAAATCTGTATTTATTTATTCATTTTCTTTTTTCGGATGGTGATTCATTATGTAAATATCATTTATGTCAAATTTTGATCCGAAGAGTAACCTCTTTCAGTCAGTTGTGATGTGACCAATAGTCAAAAAGTCTGTCAGTCTATTGTGATTCGTCAAAGAGCCAAAAAGTCTGTCTGTATGTCTTAGGCTACGAGGCTTCCAAAAGGCAATGGAAAATAATTACGTAAGAAACTCAGTCCGGCTAATTTCAAAATTTATATTAATTTATTCGTGTTCTTTCTTCGGATGTTGATTCATTAGGATAGCAATCAAGCATCAAAGGATAGCTTAACAGAGATAGAGGAGTAATGTACCAGCAAAATATAAAACAAAATAAAATAAAAAGATTAGGAAACTATTAATTTACATGCTTAATGTTTCATTATTGAGGGTTCGTACTACCGAAACTCACACGATTGGCGAATTCATGTTTAAACAGAGCATAGCATTAACAAAGAAATAAAAAAAATATTATTTACTGACGATTTTAATGAGCGCTTTCTTTAACGTGCGTCAAGAAGTGGTGAAATTAAACCGATGGGTTTCGTAGTAAGTACTTTTCATGCGAACACTTTTGGACACGGCGATTTTTACGGTGTTGCGTTGTAAATTAAGCAGTCGGTGTTGAAGGTCTGAAATACATAACAGCTGACAAAAACCGTGCGAACCGTGTAAAAGTTTTCAGCATCTATCTTAGTACATACTCGCTTGCATATACCTATTTATAGTCTATTGTGATTCGTCAAAGAGCCAAAAAGTCTGTCTGTATGTCTTAGGCTACGAGGCTTCCAAAAGGCAATGGAAAATGATTACGTAAGAAACTAAGTCCGGCTAATTTCAAAATTTATTTTAATTTATTCATGTTCTTTTTTCGGATGTTGATTCATTATGTTTCCATAGTATTTGATACACCCGTGTGAAGTCGGGACGGGCCGCTAATTTGGATATAAACTAAAAAAAGGCCAAATCTGTAGTAAGTTTTAATGAAAGAAACAAACACCTTTATCTGGTTATGAGGCACGGTTTTTTGAAATGAAAAATTGTTTAGCGGCGTTGTACACTTTTTTTATATGACACGTGATCTTATCCAAAATTCGTAAGACGAAAACAATAAAATTGGAAAGGTTGTTGACTTTCAATATATTGGACGAGTCATAGCATTATTTTATTTTATCGTATTATAATAATAAGTCTCTATCTAGGACGTCCAGGTGGCAGCTTTATTGCAAAGAAAATGCATTTTTTTACAATAGATTCATGTAAGTTGATTTTTCTGAGAGCAAACTTTTTAATGTTATATAAATTGTCATGTTTGTGTACGATAGCGTAATAAATAAATATTGTATTCTACCATATAAATGATAGTACTTTTATACTGATAATATAATTAAAGCAATTCGTGCAAAATTATTTCCTAACTATTCCAAAATGTCAAAAATGCACAACGATAATATTCAAGTTTTCACTTCTGCCGGCACTCCCGGAGTGCAACCCGTCTTTTTTTTTTATAAATAGGTCCGAGAAACGGCTTCACCTCACCTGATATGTTTAGTGACGATGGAGTCAACAAGCCAAGATAGCTGGTACAGCAGTTCTCCCTGCCACACCAGCCATCCTCACCTTGCCGGCCTGCATAATTGCTTCTTCACGACTCTTTTAAAGGATCTCGTGCTCGTCCAAAACAATAGCTTATTTTATAAAAATAATGAAACACGTCAACAAGGTAAAGGGTTAGTATGAGCATCACCTTACTCGTACTTCTGCATATTTCCTTTCCTTCAGTAT